CAGAAGCAGAAAGGAAACCAGCTCTTCCTACTGGCCTCTAATTAGAGGCAGAGAGAGAGGAAAAAAAAAAAGGCAATGTCCTTGTTTTAAGTAACGTTCGTGTGCCTGGGTACAGATGGCATTTGAAAACGCAGCGAGAGGAGGGACGAGGAGACTTTGAAGAGTGGAGGTGCCCTGTGCTTTAGCCTCTGTCAGTGCACAGCTCCAACCATCTGTCTGCTGCGCCCATGCATTGATGTGCATGTCTGCATGTGTGTGTGTGTGTGTGTGTGTGTGTGTGTGTGTGTTGTTGGCTATCACAGCGATAGGATGAAGAACAACAACGAGAGGAAACGGAGAGGTGTGAGCTGATCGCATGAGTCAAGGCTGCAGCAGCTCTCCACCGCCGTTACCTTGACCGTTCTGTTCTGTGCTGCCGGACGGGCGGAGAGCTGGGATTCGGCGCCGCGGTGTCAGTCTGGAGGGGAACATTCATTATTCAAGTCGGGAGAGGAGAGAACACGCTAACTGTACTGGGGATGGAGGAGGATGGAGGAGGATGGAGGAGGGGAGGAGGGCTGCAATTCCTCGGAGGAAAAAATTGTATACTTGAAATTCACGAGCGCTCGATGCAAACGGTTTGAATACGAGAGGAGTGATCCCAACACCAACACAACAAACCGAGGAGGGTTGGTGGGGGAACGAGAAGCAGAACAAGAAAGAAGCATTTCTCAACCTGGACACTGTAAAAAACAAAAAACTGTAAAAATACGACAGCAAGGAGGCCGAAAGATTATTAAAGAAACGCCAGAACATAAAAAAACTGAGGATAAAGACAAATATCTGTAGAAAAAATGTAGTTTTGCTGATTTAAGTGCAACAAAAAATAGCAAATATATGGTCACATGTTGGAAAAATACAGATTATTGATGTTGATGTTTAGTTTTTTTTCTCTTTACAGTCCACATGTTAATTAATCCTTTTGTACTAGAAATTTACTAAATTTCACCAAAATTTTATCAATGCAGGAGAAAATCTGTCAAATAACTGCAGCAAAGGATCATTTTTCAGTTTCTAACAAAACATATATAATTCTTTTATCAAATATCATCAAATATCTGTAAAATATAGAAAATTTGAGCTCATTTTAGTTTAAAAAACAAAACACCAAACTGTAATTTTAACAAACTGATTTTTGTAAAAATACAGATTTCTGATGTTATTTAGTTTTTTCTTTCTTTACAGCCAAAATGTAAATTAATACTTTTATTCTGTAAATTTGTAACAAATGATCATTTTTCAGTTGATGACATACGTCATAGTTTCATCAAATGTTGGTAAAATGTTGATATTTTGAGCTGATTTAAGTAAAAATTGTGTANGAGCAGAACAAACAATAGACGACTGAAATACGGCGTTGTGTTCAGAAAACAGCAGATCTTTGCAGATTTAGTTAAGGAACAAAAAAAAGGTAAACTGTGCACATGAAGCACATTTCTAAGTTCCAAAGTGTGGAGGTTTTAGTGGAGGGCTCGGGAGCAGGGAGCAGCAGCACAGGGACACAGTGAGGAAGTGTCCTGTGGTTGTGAGTTGTGATGAGAAGCGACAGCTCTCCTGCGGAGCCTGTAAATTGGCTTGGCGTATCACAGACACACAGCCACGCTACATCGCTCAGGTGTCACACCAGGGAAGCCGCTCCAGAAGAAAAATACCTTCCAAGCTCTGACTTTGATGGAGAATAAACAGCACGACCGGCTTAGTGTTATTGAAAGAGAGAGGAAATTGTATAAGCACATATTCCGTCTGCGATTCTGAAACGCTGCCGTCGGATCTGATGATAGAGTGCAGGATGCAATCACCTGTTTCTGTCTCGGGTTTTTTTTTTTTTTTGTTGGGGGGGTAGTCGAGGTGAAAGGTAACACGAGGAGTAAAGCCCCTAAACATGTCTAGGACTGTGTCATTAGTGGGTGACGTAAAATGGCTGGGAGGACGCCATATATACAGCATGGGGACTATTTACTGTATATATATGGAGTTTAGTGATGGTTGGATGTAAAGGTTACAGGCCTGGGCAAAAACACACACACTGATTTAATTAAAATGAAAGAGTTAAAAGCCTTTCGTTGACTAATTTATAATAATTCCAGCTTGTAATGCAGAGACTGGTGCAGTTCAGGCTAAACGTGAACGTGCACCTTATGGTTCATTATCAGTGTGACCAAATCATTATAGATGCAAAATGTGCAAGTTGATCAAAATTTACCAAAATTAGTCTCTAACCCGGATCCATGTTCTTCTTTTTTTTTTGCCCAGGCCTCACAGGGAATAGTTCTGGGAAGCGTGGACGTGATGGCAGCATGATGAAATGAGGGGAAATACGTAGTTTGTGAACGACAGAACCCCACAGTCTCTTATGAACAGCTCCTCTCTGATCTGGGTGGACCCACACAGAGCGCTCGCTGATTTCGAGACACCTGCACCAGGTGCAGAGCTCGCACCTGTTGTTCAAACGCAGGACGTACTTGCCAAAAAAAAAAAAAAAAAAAAGATTGTTCACAGGAGAAAAGGTGCATCGCCGCTGTTCCGCCGTGCACACTGCGATGACTCATGCTCTCCGTGTGCGTGCGTGGGCGTTACATCCTCTGTTCGAACAACCTATTAATTGCATTTGGTGCAAATGTTTTCCAAATCGAGGCCTGTTGTTTAGAGCAGACATGTGTCCTCGATTAAATGCATCTATTGTCACGTTGACCAAGAATACTTGAGGCTGATGTCAGTATTAAAATCTCTCATATCTCAGTTTCACATCATATTAAACATCAACTGTTGCTACATGACAGGTTTACTGGTGAACACACATCACTGGCTTTCCCATCTAAGTTCAACACATTAGCTTGGAGATTCCCAACCTTCTGGGGAAGTGGTTCAGATCTCATTGTTTAATTAGAATGACTGTAGAGAGGAGTTTAGAAGGAGGAGGAGCCGCTGGTTCTTGGAAGTATGTTTTTCAAAATGTCCTGAGTGTTGGTCAACACAGGAACCAAAGAGACTCCCAGAGTGCCTTGCTTCAGATTATTTTAACTTGTGAGGAATTGTGTGTTTGCTATCACGGGCTGCGCTTGGAATCGAGTATCCCAGTTATGAGGCTGGACTTCCTGTTTTTGTGTTTGCACATGGAACCATCTGATTTCAGAAACCTGCACATCTCAGTTTAAAGGAAACCCAATCACATGCCAGCTCCAATACGAAGAAAGCTGCTGCATGTAGGATCACCTGATCGAGGCATTTTATAGTTAACAATAATCCCAATTTATCGTTTACATCTCCTGTTGTATTCTGAACACATGACTTCTGGCTGGAGGTCATTGAACGTCACACAAGTCTTCGTCATGGTTGCTAGCTAAACCCCCACAATGCTCTCCGTTTGCCAACATGAACAACCTGCAGTCTGAGTAACGCCTCCTCTACAGTCTTACCCAGTAGGAGGCTCCACCTGGTGGAACAACCAGGTACTACAGCTGACCTACGGTACACTCTCTGACCTGCATGTAGAGAACACAGGTTCTTTTGGAGCCCGTGGAGCGGCGGTACCGTCTCTCCAGGCTACATTGCAGACGTTGTACTACTGGAGCTTGTAGCCACCTACGTAGCATTCTGGAACAGCCTGGATGCAGGAATTGTTAATGCGTCGCGGCGCTGCTCGGTTGTAAAGCACACACACCGGATTGACTTCATGAACCGTAATGTGTTTGAAGTGGATATTATCTGTGACAGCGGCGTCAGATTGGGACTCGGTATCAGTAAACACTGAACAGGAAATGGCTCGGGGGCAAAATAACTCGATTAGGACATCCCTGGCTGTGTGTACACAGTCAGAACTTTGTCTGTAATAATCCATAGACAGAATGTTTGGACACCAGGCGGGTTCCCCACAACTACCCGGTTTGGGCACCGTTCTCATTAACTTGCTCTGTTCCTATTGACCTCATGAACGGTTAAACGATCAGTTTTCTCTCCACTCAGGGTCAGAAAGCCTCATCGTGACGAACCAGTCAGAGCTGCGCATCTTAATCCGTGACAGCCCGACACCAGCCAGAGTGGAGGATATGTTCAGCATCTCCTGTAACTGGTGGATAAGCCACACGAGTTTGGCATTTAATAGCGCTAAGCCCGCTGTAAGCCAAAGTGGCCTCGTTTTCAATAGCCACAGTCAAATTAATTTGGGCTAACAGTTAAAGGGATGTCAGGATTAAATCGCCAAATGTGCTTCAAACATCACAGGACGCGATCATCAGTAACTGGGATGGTCGTGTTCATCACGCCTGCTCCGTGTAAACACCGTATCCTGGATACGATCGGGATGAGCCTCATGACTGGGATACGAGCTGCATCCATGAGTTCAGAAACGTTCCTTTGCTGCGTTTGTAAAACCAAACCAGCCAACAGGACAACAGAGCGCTTCCAAATGGTCCAAAAAACCAAGAAACCCAAAGTGAATCCAGTAATTTAAGCTGTAATGTCTGTTTTCTGAGGAATGATTCGCTCCTCTGTTAGTATTTCTGAACAAAATGCACCTCAGGAGTCGTCATTAACTCGTCACATTTTATTTTTCTACCCATAGGTTTGGATACCAGACATTATACTGGTGTGTCCGTCCAACAGCGAGTCCTTTGACTTTGTCTCTGGGACACACTGAGAAAGTCTTTTACTTTCAGAACCAGCGGCACATGAAACAGCTCCTCACTTCACAACTTTGTGCCAAATTAGGTTCAAATTGTCTTTTTTAGTGACAGCTTAGTGTCACCACTGTAGAGTTACTGACCAGTGGACCAGCCACTGCTCGTCGCTCAGGAATTTCGGTGGGCTCGCCAAGAACAACGAGGTTCGGAAGCCTTGCATCAAACACACATTTAACTTCATATATCCTGATATAAATGTCTACGCTCCCACCCCGCCCTGCCTGCTTTCTGCCCCGCCTCCCCCCCTCCGTGACCTCCTGCAGGCCCTGCCCCGGTACTCACCTAAACCTCTGGGCCTGGTGGTGGAGGGGGCCGGGGTATCGGCGGTTGGGGGACTGGTAGAGTTGCGACAGAAGGGCTTGGCTGGTCTTCTGACTGGGGTTGTTGGCAAACTTGACCGTGATGGGCTCGGCGGCACCTGATGGCTTCTGGCCATTCAGGCCCTTGATGGCCTCCTCGGCCTCTATCCTCTTATCAAAGCGGATGAAGCCGACGCCTCGGGAGCCACCTGCGGGGCCAGCAGATCACAAACAGACAGGGGCCCCTTTTACTTTACAGGCTCTGGACACAAGTTGGACTGACATACGCTCATGCTGTGTGAGTGTGTGAGTGTGTGAGTGTGTGTGTGAGATGCCTTCATACATGACAGGAAACTCAGAAACACTGCTGGCGATTATAAACTCGTACCAACGAAGCCCGACGTGTTGATTTACAGGAATGTGCTCCACGATGTATAAAAAGACGGGAAAGCCGAGGTGATAAAAATATGAATCGGGGAGTAAAGTAAATCGTTCTCTCTCTCAGTCAAAGACATTTTTCTCTACATGAAGCAGCTTCCAGCTCCTTGTGGGAGAACGATAACAAAAAGTGACCCATTTATTCACCAGGCTGTGTGTTAACTGCCGAAGTGTGCGACTGTGATGTCGTGTACACTGTAAAAAAAAATAAAAATCTGGAGCAAACGGTGCCAGAAAAATTGGTAGAATTCAGAAAGTAACAGCAAATATCTGTAAAATAATGGTTTTGTAATTGTACAGGCCCACACTGGGGTGAATGAATTATTTGTAAAAATATGGACTGTGGACGTGGATGTAACCTGAGTTTTAATTATTTTTTTTAACAGTCAGCGTGCAAATTAATGTTTAAAAAAAAAAAAAAAAAGATTTCACTCAACATTATCTGTAATTTAATAAAACATGGAAAATATGTAAAATAATTTTTCAATTCTTAAAAAAATAATTTCTCTTTCAACAAATATCTGGAAAATACTTTTTTTTCTGATTTAAATCCACTAAAGCAGTCTGATTTAATATTTAAACATAAAAGAACCAGTTAGCATTTATGAAAATAATTTTTTTGATTAGAACTTTATTGAATTTTTTTTTTTAGTCATCAAATAAATTATTTTTTTTCTGTGAATTTACTCTGTAATTTACCAAAACATGGAAAATAACTTTTTAAATTAAACATTTTTTTTCCTTCCTTATGATTCATAATTTTGCTTTCAAATAACTCCAAATATCAGATTTTGTTTAGTTGTTTAGTTTAAATACAAAAAAAAAAAAAAAACGGGGAAAAGAAAGAAAATAATGCAAATAAATGGTCAAATAATAAATAAATATTGTTTATTTATAGTTAACATGTAAATTCATAGTTTTGCAGTGATTTTACAAGTTATTTTAAGTCATTTAACAACAGATCTGTAAAATAATAATATACATTAAAATAAATCACTTTTTTGTAGTGCATCCATAACTAAGTGTATGTATACATACACAATCTTGATTTGTGATCTCTCTAAATACACTGAGCCGATCTGACTCAGTAACGTCATTTTGTCTTTATATTTTCATCACCATTATTTACATTTTCCTGCCTTCACGTGCCTCTGGAGCCGACCTGACACACAGCAGCAGTTAACCAGAGGGTTTAACATCAGGTTTACAGCAGCAGAGACAGACGACGTGGAGGAAACGTAGAACAGCGACACAAAGCGAGGCGGCAGCTCTAGACGCTGCGACGTGGCATCTGGCCCAGACTCTGTTTGAAGCTACAGTCCATTCTTCCCTCACGCTCGCCCGAGTTACAGTCATCCACACACACTCTTCACGCATTGTTCTCGGTGACATTTGAGCCGTTTCCTTGGAGATCTTTTTGTGTGTGTGTGTGTGTGTTGAGAGGAACATTTAGAGACGTGCTACCTGGGAGGTCCTTCATCGGCGTCTGCTGCGATTTGCTTTGTGTACATTACAGACTGTATACACACATCTCTATATATATACGTGTGTGTGTGTGTGTGTGCATGTGCGCTGGTATCTATTAATGGATGCTGTGCCTTGTTTTAATGAGGCTGCCTCGATGGCCCAGAGGATGCTCGCTCAGTGACAGCAGCACTCTGCCGGAGAGACTATTTACATAATACTGTGTGCACACAGGCATGTGTGTGTGACGGAGGCTGAATAAAAGAGAGGCAGTAAGAAAGAGGGGAATGCTGTGTTTGAGCATCATTGTGTGCAGTCTCGTTCTCACACTTAAAAAGCCCTCCTTATTGTTATTCCACATTTTTGTACATGCCATCCCTCTCCCCAGCTCTTTTTTTTTTTTTACTTCCTGTTGGCTCGTCTCGTGGCTCTTCGCTCCCCCTGAATTCTTATTCGGAGGAGCACCTTGACCATCTCGCTCCCCCCTTTTTGTTCTCAGTTTCTCTCCAGGACACAGACACCACAAGGTTATTTACTTTCAAGCCAAGCAGCAACACACACACACACAAAAAAAACACTCTTTGAAAGCAAACAATTTATGAAAATCTTTGGACGTGACGAGAAGCTTTTTGTTCCAGCGGACAATGAAACGTGGAAGTGGAGCTCTGATAATGGAAATCCAGCATTAACATTCAATTTAAAACAGATAAATAACTGTGTTTGTACGCCAGATGTTTTTAGAAATACTCGTAGCAGCGCTGTAGCTTCACCTTTTTAAGAATAAACGCTGTAGTAGGAGCACATTTACACGTTCTCTACATCTCCTTCCAGTTCACTGAATCATCTCACAGCAGAAACCACTTTTGCTAAAATTAAATTTCTTTAACTTCTTTGTTTTATTTATGACCTTTTTAACATAATGGTTTTATATTTTTTTTGGAACGATAACCTGTTTTTCATTGGAATGGTTAAAACCTCCACAAAAACCAAAAAGAGAAATTCATGATGAGACTTTTTCCAATAAGACAAACATAATTTGATCATCAACAGGTGACGTCTGCCAGTGTTTCATCTGGTGAGGACTCATTACAACCTCAGATCTTTAATAAACGGATATCAGAGAAGCTCCTGTGTTGTGGAGCCAATCGGCACATCGGTGAAGTCACTGCAACGGCTCAGATGATTCAAGAACCTCGAGGAACTCTTGAAGGAACCTTTAACAGCTCAGTTCAGAGAAGAGGAACCTTTAACCTTCGTTTACCTTCAAATTCACCGACATCAATTTAAACCTCCAGAAAATATAATTAAAATCGTTACCTAGGTTTATGTGTAAATATCCCTTAAAATAAAACTGAGAAAATTCTGTCAGTGACTTATTTAGAGACGTTAAACACTGAGTGAGGATAACAGGAGGGTTAATAACTCAGAACTGTTTCCTGGAGGATTTTCTAACACCATATTCTCGCATTTACACTTTAGTTTATTCATTTCATTATTAAAACTTTTATGGCAGTAAATCGTGGAGCTCTTCTGAACTATACAGGAGACATTAATGCAAGTCTTAGAGGCCGGTTTTGTGTCTTTGGGCAAATTGGGATCTTGTCTGACTTTTCCCTGACAGAATCGTGCGACTCTAAACACGAATGCAAAGCTCCGTGTTCACCTAAAATAACCAAACAAAAGTTTGTTTCAGGAACGTCTACCTGTGGTCTGGACAGGTTTTAGATTCAAAAATATTCTGCAAATCTAATAACAATCAAGCTGGAATCCCAAAACCCAACACTGGATGAAACGTTTCCTCAACCAGCTGCAGAGGAACCACTTTGAATTTAGGAGGTTCCTTAAACCCCAAATGGTTCTTCAAGGCTCTTCTAGAATAGAATAGAAAAATACTTTATTTATCCCAGTCTGGGAAATTACTGAAATTCTACTCAGAGTTCAGAGCAGAAAGATGCACTCGATAAATCCAAAGTCAGAAAACAGAATCTAGTGTTTATAAATGGTTCTGTAACTGTAGAAAAATCCCATCTGATCGACGTGTTTTTACTCATATAGCAGCTAAACACGACCATTTATTATCCATGTTCATGTCTGGAAACAAAGCTCTGCTGTCCAGAGTTGAATTAAGGACTTTAGCTTAACCTACATGTGGAGATCTGGGGAGAAGGTGACCTGTCCTCATTTAGCCTTGTTTGTTTTTTTTTTTGTTGTTGTTGTAGCTTCCTGTAGCGACGGGAACCTTTCAAACCAAAAGCAGGCGAGGAGCAGAACCCACCTGGAACCAGCATCCGAACACCTGCAGCCTCCATCCGGTGAGTCAGACAGAGAGAGAAGCTTCTGACCACACGAGCCACAGCCTTTCATTACACTCCTACTTCACTTCTTCTGTTTTACTCTCAGTTTTTAAACTTTTTCTGGGTCCCCCTCCCTCCCTCACATCCTTTAGTGGCAGCTCTGTACCTGTACGTTTTAATTAGCTTGTCAGACGCAGAAAAATAACCGTTCTAGAGGGATCTACACGCTGCAAACAGCCACCGCTGCTGCTCCTACGCCTCCTTTCATTCTTTCCTCCAGTCGTGGTGGATGTGAGGTGAACACGGGGTCAGCGCCGCGTCTCCACGTCGGTAACGGACCTTTATGAGGCGTGTCGAGCTTCACCTCGATAACTGGAATCGGCCCAATTTCACGACCGGTCTCGCTGCTGCCGTGAAGGCACTCGGCGACTCCGAGAGCCTTGCTCAAGGGCACCTCAGCGGTAGTTAAGGAAGAGGAGAGCGCTGATCATCGGCTTCCTCCGCCGAGACGAGAGAGCAGGAGAGAAGGACTCTATTCGTCCTTTAATCCTCACACTTGTTTGGCCTTGAGCTCCTCCTAAGCTGGTTTCTTGCTGGAGGGCCTCCAGACAAATGCTTGGCATACAGATGAAGGCCCGGCACAAACACACACACACACACACACACACACTTACTTCTGCGACGACTTGAAGAGGTGTTATTAAGAGTGAAGTGTGAAAAGAGGACTGGAGATGTCCGTGACCGTTTGTAATGGCGCGTGACCGATCGCTGAGCGTACGTGCGCGCGACGGCGGCGGCAGATTAAAGACGTGCGCTCTCCTGTTAGCTCGAGTGTGAACCAGCCGCTCTCGTCCTTGAGGTTGCACAATGGCCCGGTGAAGGAGGTGAGAGATGTGAGGTGGTGGTTGACCTCATCACAAGTGTGTGTGTGTGTGTGTGTGTGAGATGTGCTGGCGTCTATACGTAACGCAGAGCGGTGATTCCAGCTCGGAATGAGATTAAGTCGACATCAA